TTTCTGCTCCCACACACTCAGTTATTCCAGAAGGTCCCAAAGCCAGCATGCCCATTATTTTTGAGGTGCAGCTGTAATAACTGACAGCTCTGTGTCTGCACTTGCAGGCAGAGGAATTCCCCTGCAGTGGAACTGTGCTATCCAAGGGCAGATCCCTCTCCCCAGGAGATGGAGTGATGCTAGGTTTGTGCAACAAAACCTGGAGTCCCCCAACAGAGCTTCCAAACCCACAAGGTAAATCTTTCAGCAGCAACTTCTTGCTTACAGAAAAAAAAAAAAAATTAAAATAATATACGTCTTTTCCTGGATCACGGACCCCTTCCAGGCATGAAGGGGTTACAAACCCTTGGGCGGCAGTGATTGCGCTGAACTCTGTCAGCTCTCGGTCTGCAAGCGCATAGACTATTCCCCGGCGGATCAGGAGTAAGCAGAGAGGACCCGGGACGTGTCTCATGCCATACTTGGAGTGCCATCTCCTGGCAAACAGCGCTGCCTGCTCCGTGTGTGCACCGAGCCAACGCCACCCCGGCACCGGGGAAGGAGCTGATCGTCTCCTGCAATCCCGGACAAGATTCCTGCCTAGGTGAGCACTCCCTTAACTACATCAGGTTAGCGCTTCTGTCCCTGTGAAACTCCTTCTTGGCTCTTCAGGAATACACCAGCTGATCTTCCCCACTATCAGCCTGGTTTTAATTAACCTTGAAATCTTAGGACTTTTTCTTGTAATAGATGCATTAGAATTTTTCTTCATAAACATGACGAAACCTCTGGACAAAAGCCCGGGACAGACAGAGCCCAGGACAGACAGTGCCCAGTCCTAAAGGGTACCACACGGTGCCAAAGGAGCCCAGCTCTCCTGGCTTGGGGATTTTCTGCCAGGTAATTGCCAGTGTTTCTGCCAGAGCTCAAAGAGGCTCCAGGATCATGATTTTCTGGAGCTGAATTTTACTGACTCAGAACTGGGTACTTGGCATCCTCGAATCCAGGAACACCAAGTTCCCATTTAAACCAAAGGATTTAGGCACTTGCAAGTGAAAGATTTCCCATCTGAAATAGCCCTTGCTCTTCTCTTGTGTTCAGCAGCATTCCCAATTCACCCAAATTTTGAGTAACAGCCCAGGGCTGCAGAAAGGCCTTGCATTACCTGTGAGCAAACTCCTGCTTTCCAGTGACTGTTTGGAAACTCCTGATTACTTTGTTGCCTTATTTTGACCTTCCTACTAAAGGGCCATAAATTTGTTTCTGAGTCTGGGATTCACTATGCCAGCTTAATGCCCTGAAATTCCCTCGTCCATACAGACCCTAAATGGCCAAATCTGCAGAGACAATTTGAAGTTAATCTATTCTAAGGAATAAGATAACCTTCTCTAATGCCTTCAAAACACAAGTTATGACACTAAATATACTAGTTCTCTAATTTAAAGCAAGAAACAAATGTTTTTAGAAAGATGCTCGATGAGAGAAGAGACAAATGGACTAATTAGGTTAATACTTTTCCTTAAAGTGACTTCTCAGCATATGGAGATTTTTATGTCCATTACCTCAGCTAGAAGGCTGACATCAAGCTTCCTGGCTGGCCTCCCCCTCTCTGCACTCATGCTGCCATCAGAGTATTTCTGAAAGAACATATGCTTAGTGCTAACTGAGCAGGTTTTGTGAATTAAAAAGGTCCTTTATTAGTGCCTTTGCTGGGCCATGGATGGATCATGCTGGTGATGCAGGATCCTGCTTCCCACAGACACCTGCCTGGAAGCAGGGGAGGTGGGAAACAGCCACGTCTCTCCTCAAACTTCTCCAAGGATTACCTCAGGACCCTGCAGCTCACGATGGTCTCTGGCTCTCCTCCCTCCCCCAGATAACCCCCTTTCTGCCCTGAATGGCTCTGGCATTCACATATTTGGTAGCAGTACCCTAGAAGGGAATATCAGGCTGCAAAATTCCCTCTTTCACAGCCCCCAAGAGGCCTAAAGAGAAACTGGATTACTTGTTACTCCATCACTGCCTCCAGAGCAAACCTGCTGGGAGGTTCAGGGGGACTGGATGTAACAATGGCCACTTCTAGAGAGTGACACACTCCTAACTCTTACATATATTTTTCATTGCTTCCCACTGTGGGTGAGCTGGAGACCTCATTAGCACGTCTGGGAACCTTGGCTTTAACCTCACGGGCCAGTCCAGTGACAGGCTGTACCAGAGCCCCCAGGGTTTTGTTCAGGAACCAGGGCAGGACTGTGGGAGCTGAAGGCAGGTTCTCTCCCCTCCTCAGAGCCACCTGCACCTCACACAGCAACAAAACCCTCCCTCTCATACCTAATTGTAGCTACCAGGGTCCCATGGGCACTACCTGGGGAAGGGAAGGTCTACAAATAACACTCTGGTAGTCATGAGAACCACATTCCCTGCATGGGGGAGACATCTGGATTTATAATGGTTGTTTCTTCCCAGTTGGAAACTAATTCCTTTTGCTCTGCATTTGGGGGGAAAACTTCAATTTTAATCTGCTTGCTGGGTTTCCATAGAGCCCTCAATTGTCACTTATCAGACCTGCTCGTTTCCCTCTTCCACCAACATGATCTTGCATTTTATTTTTGAAATAGCAGGCTTTAAAATAAGACACAGCACCCCACAAAGCAGAGAGGATATTCATGGAGTGCTTTTAAAAAGCAAGTAAAGCTCATGCCAGGCTGATGGATGTGGTATGACGAACCTAGAGGCGTGATGGAAAAAGTAAATGGCAGATCCCAAAATGCAGGGGTGGAGTGGAAGAATGGGAAATGGTGCCTTGATTTGCCAAAGTGCTTCTGTTAAAGAGTATTAATCTTTTCAGACAATCCATGGAAAGGCCCTGTAGCAATATCATATTAAATTAATAGAGTCCCATCATTATGGTAACCTCAGCTCAGTTTTGTAAGATGTATAGTGTCATCATACCAAAGAAGAGTCCCTGCATAATTCTGCTCCCACAGCAATTGCTGCTAAATGACACTGACATGACAATCCTCAGCATTTTGGGTGCCTGTCTGTCTCAAAGGGGGCTTTCCTCCGGCACTGCAGGTGCCCAAGAGCAGCCTCACAAGTTGTACAATTCCGTTTGAGCACCAAAGACTTCCCCACCATCAGAAAATACACATTTATGACCTGCCCCTAGAATAAATCACTATCACAAGCAGCCAGATTATCTATCAAATGGATAGCTCCTCCCAACAGCACTGTCCATCATAGAGCTCCTCAGGTGTTGGCACAGGGGATCAGAGGCTCTGGTACCTCCAAAACAAGAGCCAGGGAACACAGCCATCCTAAGCCTCAGGGGGGTTGTGTAGATCTGGCTCCCAAACCACAAAAATTATCATTCCAAACCAGGAAAGATCACAACAGCCAGGGAAATTATACATAGATTACAGAAGGAAACTAAGAAAACAATCCCAGCCTTCACACAACTGAAGTCTTTCTCTGTTCCCTCATTCTGCACTTCTGCAACATAAACTGTCCATGCCTCTTTCCACCTCCCCTCTCCACAGTCCACAGAAGATCTGAGTAACGTGAACTTGTACCAGTGGCTTTTCATTAGTAAAGCTGAAAGTTAAATCAGCAGTCTCAGGAAGCTGGATGGCAGCTCAAAATACCCAGCAGTGAGAGAAACAAGCAGTGAATGAGGAGAGTTTGACACAGCAGAACTGGCACTTCTCAGCCAGGTGCCCCTTCCACTAGTGTGAGACAGTGGCAAAACTACCAAAAACCTTCTGCAAGGTTTCCCTCTTACCCTGCGTTTGGAGCCAGACAGAAGTGCCCAGACAATCGTGGTGCTGCAATGTGTTTATGAAGGATTCCAACCTAAACTGTGCCTTCCAGGAACACAGTTGCTACTCACAATTCAGGGGATTAAATCTGTCCCTCGCAGCTCAGGCTCAGAAGGGCTGGGAAGCTGCTCCAGCAGCCAGAGGTACCTCAGTGGCTCCTGCACCCACCACCCTAAATGGCCATACTGCTGGAAACTAGCTTCCCAAAAATCTTCAGATACAGGCTCGAGGGGGAAGTAAAGCGGGGAAAAAAGTTCCCAACTATCTCTAGACGTGCCACTGCACCTCCAGAAATCTGCACGATTGGCTGCAATGTGCCTGAGAGTGCACAGAGCAGCCCCTGCAGCAGCCCAGGGGATGTACAGATGATTACTAATTGCAGACACCCTGCACTAATTGCAGACACCTTGTACTACAGCATGTCTTTGCAACCTGCCATGGCCCAGCTGAACATCAGACTGACTGTCTCCAAGATATTCATGGCTGGCTTTGACTGTTGCTTCACACAAAGAGTTTTAATGCCTCCCCAACATACGCATAAAAAGAATGGGTCTGAGTTTGTCCAAAATGAGCAATCAAGAGGGAGACTTATTTGGTAATTTGCATCATTATGTCTGTCTGCTGCTGCATCTTTGCTGACAGCTTGTTTTTAAGCACTGGAATCCAGCTTAGGAGTCTTTCAAAACAAAGCAACCCTCTTGCTGCCATGGCTACTTGTCTGGGGAGCTTGGCAAGGAAAGAAGAAATATATGTGTAAGCATTGGGAGTCACTGTCCTATTTCCAGCCCAGCAAGCCGGGTGTAGCACCATGAATTAACTGCCTCCCTGCTTTCCAAAAGCGAGAGCCTTTTTCAGGTCACCTCTCAAATTTAATCAATGTCAAAGCATTTCTAGAAGCTGAGGGCACATCAGCATGCTCACTGGCTGAAGGAATATGGACTTCCCAGCAGTTAAGCCATATCAGGATCCAGCATCTGATGCAGGAGGTACTGTGTTGATTTTGCACTGTCAGGTGTTCCCATGCACGTGGACCAGCAAACTGCATCTTATTCCCTCAGCAGGGGCTTCCTCTCGCATGATCAACACACAGTTTCTCCTGCTGATTCCCAGACTTGGGACACTTAAACAAACAACAAGATTTTCCCCTTCCCTCCAAAAGGAACCCAGTAATAATAAAAAAACCACAACAAAAGCAGAACTCACTTTTTCACCGTGGTCCATTCTGCACCAGCAGCCAGAGGCCTCACAGCAACAGAAGAACTTCACTTCTCTCACCTTCACCTGCTCTCTCCTTCTGCAACCACCACTCTCCTCTCCCACAGCTGCCCCCTATCACACACAGCAAGGCTTTCACCAATCCTGGGCCGCCTTCTGCCACAACCCAAATGCCCTCCCTTCCCCAGCTGGCTGCTCCAGGTGATTTCAATAATTATCCCCCCTCCAGCAAACAGGTCCAGCTCTGCTCCCGGCCTGGAGAAGGGGAACATGTTCACCCAGCACTGTCTCCTTTGGAGGAAACAGGGCCACTTCAGCCTGCTCACATTTTTATCCTTTACAACTGGGAGTCACCGAGCTTCTCAGATGAAAGGCTCTCCTCTAAGTGCAAATTATTATTAATGAATTTCCATCTTGGCTCCTTGACAGAAAAATGTACCTTGGAGCATGTTATCTTTGCAGCCATGCACCCCTGGCACTCGCAGATTCCCTCTCCTGGCAAGTGAGGCACAGTGACAGGAGGGATGCTCAGGCAGCTCTCTGTGCCCCATCCCAGTGCCTCTGTAACAGCAAAGCTTCAGAAATGTAAATCCTGGCATTTGACCCAATGAGAATTTCTCAAATACACGATATTTCACACCCCGGTGGTTTCCTCCCTGCTGAGATGATCATTTATGGTGGCTCGCTGAGAACTGGGCTTTGACAGAATTTTTTGGTCAGCGGAAGACAAATTGAAAAATTTCAGTCTCTGCCTCTGAAGCACCATGTCCTGCAGCTTCAGAAAAATTAAATGCGAAGGCAGGGCTGAGTTTTTCCCTTTTTTTTACCTCCCTCTGTTGTCTCTTCAGATACAGCCTGTCCTCCTCTGCAAAGACCATGCAGTTTTGACACCGTGCTCCTGTCCAGCCACCAGCACTGGGTTCCTGAGGTCCCATCCCTTGTATGTGCTGTGTACCAGGGCTGAGCGACACACGAACAAGCCTTCCTAAAAATGCACTTGGAACAATCACATTCCATGCTAGCACAGCGTGTTATTTTTGCTGGAATACTGTATTTCTTGCTCCTCTGCTGTCGTATTTTGCAGCTCTGTGCTGTAAATGCCTTTTTCACCTCAGAGCCACCTGTGCTCCCCCAGGAAGATATACGGATCCCTGAGGTGTGGCTGATGCATCGCTGTGCTCAGCCTGTAAAGTAGCTGGGGGTCCTCTGGGACTGAGGGTGCTTTGTACATGTCAGTTGTGATTCACTGAAACCTGCTTCCATCTGAACCCGCCGTATCAATCAGAGAAGCCACGTAATTAATTATGACTGGGCTGCACGGACGCTGCTCACATCGGGAGCCCGAGCGCTGGAGCTGCTCGTGCTGATGGTGGGCACGAGGGTGAACAAGATGAATAGTGACACTGCCCTGAACTGTGCCTGGCTGCTGTCTTCTCCTGCCATCCATCATCATCACCACACGTTGGCTGGGAAGGGGAAGCACTTCACAAAGGAAGGGTCAGGGCGGTGAAAAAACTTTCATACATCTCTATTCTCTCCTCAGAAAGCAGCTTAAACCGTGTTTCTGTCGGGCAGTGGATGCAGTATTTGAACACAGAAATGACAGCAGGAGCCCCCTCCCCTCAGAAAAGAGAGGTTAATTTGTCAAGCCATGTAAAGCATTTTAATTACAATTCGTATAACATGTATAAATAAATATTACATTCTTTCAGTCTACAATGCATACTAGGCATATCTTGTTAAAATGTCCATCTATGTTACTGGGTGGCAGGATTGATTTTGTCCAAGTAAAAAAAACCAAAAAACAAACTACTGAGTTTAGTAATTAAAAAAACCAAAACAACGAAATACATGGTAAAGACAGGACAATGCAAGTGCTTCTGGCTAACAGTCAGGACATAATACTGCTTTCCAAAGGCTGGGTATACCATCTTCCTTTTAGTTAGGAGAGGTTTTGGATGACAGTGGTTTCCTCATTGTATAGATTTTGACCTGTGTCCTCCATTAATGGGAACTGGCACTGAGTCAACACAGTTCTGCCAGTTTACACCACGAATTAAAACTCTATTTTGTATTTGCTTCTGATTTATTACTGGGTCGGTATTTGTTTTTTCAAAACATCAGCTTTACAATCTAGTCTAAAACTTTCAGTCTTAGCCGGTCCAATGGCAAAAAAAAAAATAAAAAATCTATAAAATAGCTCCAGGTATTTCTTGGTCTTGCTGCAGCAATATTCCCCTCCCTCCCCCCCAGCAGTCTGTCCAGAGGCCAGCTCTCCCAGTACAAGGAAATAAAAGTTTGGGGGCAATCAGTGTCTTTCTGTCCATTCTTCTTCTGGCTTTCAGAGCTTGATGAGAGCTGGTGGCATTAGAATAAACAGAAAATTACAGCACAAAATTATGAATTCATGAACTTGGCAAAAAAAAAAAAACCAAACCAAACTAAAATCCAGGCTGTACATATTTGGCCTGTGATGGTCTCAGTTCCAGGTACATTTAAAATGCACCAGTGGGGAGCTCCCATCCTTGGTACTTCTAAAAGCTAAAATAAAACAGCACCTTCTTCCCTTGGTGAAAAGTAGGAACTTTGGTTGTGGAAATTTAAAACGAGCAACTAAAGAAACAATCCAAACCTGAAAGGAAAATGAATACTTCTTCCAAACAGAACATCTTTCTAGCTAAGGGTGAAATGGAGGCTTAGGCTTTCAGAAGAGACACCACATGGAAATTATTAGTCAATACTTATCCCTTGAATTCTTTAAATGACAGGAGACTATTTATAGCTAACTTGGATGTTCTTGGCCCATTGTGAACTTAAAGAATTTTAAATTTTCCTGTTTTCAAGATATTTAAAAGAAAAATACAAGAGGGAAATATATTCTGTTTCAATTTACAAGACAAACGGAAAGGTAAAAATAAAAATACCAGGTAATTTCTTCCTCCTTCATGTGTAACACCAAAGACACATCTTCACTTCAAATGAAGGAATAAAAAGAAATGGCTCGAGTAACAATCTAAAAAGTCTCCTTGTGGGTCATATGCCCATAATTGTGATGTTTTACTGGAAATAGAAAAAGTTATTGTTTGTCTCTTGCTTATTGTTTTCATGCTCTTATATTCTCTCATTTCTTTTTGCAGATATTTTTTTGGTACTTTGAAACAATACTATCACTATTATTTGTATGACCCATAAAATGAATTTTCACAACCTCATCTTGTCCAGTTCATCATATTGGTCACACCATTTCCCTGTTCCTTTCTGCTATTTAGATCCCACTTCCTAAATCCATGAGTAGCAGAATAACCACTAGAAAAAAAAAACAAAACAAAACAAAGTGAAAAAAAAACCCAAACAAAAACAAACCATGGACAGTTTGGCAAATTTCTTTCCCTGATTATAAAAACTGCCTCATCATTTCTCCTGGTGATCCCTTCCCCTCCCCCTCTCCTGTCCCAATATATACTGTAGAACTGAAGGCATCAAGGTGTGGTTAAACCCCCCCCCCAAAAAAAAACCCAGCAAGAAGCTACACTTTGTCTTTGAACTTCTCCATGTAGTTTCGTATCTCTTTGGAGTCCCCCAGGTCCATATCCTGGCACACCCACTTAATGTCATCGTCATTGCTACTCAGGATTGAGTTGACAGTGGGACAGCCGTCGTCGGGCGGGATGGTTGTGAACGTGGTGAATTTTACCCGCTTCCGTTTGGATGTCGGCGAATGTAAACCTTCCGACTTCTGTTCCTTCCCCGGCTTGCCCCCCGAGTCTGCACACCTGTGGACCTGGCCCTGGATGTTCTTCTGAGCACTGCCATTGAGGAGCTGGTTGCTCTCCTCGCTGCCTGAGCCCCGGTCAATAATGGTCGTGTGCTCGTCCTGCTGAGGCGACGCATCTGCCGTGTTCTCCAGCAGTTCTGCCTCGTTCCCCAGCCACACCCAGTCATGGGAATGGGTCATGGTGGTCTGTCCTTCCACCAGGACCTGCTTGTGGCGGTACTTCAGTGCAAATGTTGCACAGTTTATTAGGAAGACTAGAATTGCCAGGCAGAAGACCCCCAGCAGCGCGTACATCCCGATCTCCAGATCACTAAGGCCCCTGGGTGTCTGCACCAGGTCGCTGTCCTCTACACCTGCACTGCCCTTGGGGAGGTCCACTTGAGCAGGGAAGTTGGTGAAGTCTATGGGAATGTTCTGCAGCTGGCTGTCGTCCGAGAGTTTGCCGCCGTCCAGCCTGTTGTTTTTGAGGACCTTGTTTTTCAGGATGGACTTTGCCGTGGTGCTGGCTTTCCTGACGGAGCCCTCCTCCCTCTCCGCCGAGGAGCCGCCGTAGTACCGCCCGTCCTGGCCGTAGCGCTCCTGCTCCGACGCTTTGTGCCGCCGGTCGCTCGCGTGGTTCTCGATCTCGTCGGCGTCGTAATCCCCGCCCGCATCAGAGTCTGCGTCGTTCTGGCCAAACTTCACCTTGATGTTGCCACTCCCCACAGCCAGAACGCTCTTCCTCTTGGACTTCTGGCAGGCTTCGGAGATCATCATGTCCACCTTGATTAACGTGCCCTGGCCTTCACCTTCCGCTGCCACCACCGGCCACCTGAAGGCAGCGCTGTGGTGGGTGGAGACGACGCCTTCATCCAGCGACACGGCAGAGAGGGAGAAGTCCTTGGGGTCATAAATGTCCAGGGGAGTAACAGAGCTGTCACTGAACTGGATCCAGGTGCTCACTACAGCTTCCTGAAAAGAGAAGGGCATGGTTAAAGGCAGGGTCTTAAATAAAACAGCTCAACCCACTGCGGCTCATCAATCTCTCAGCTCGGAATGGCAGCTGGAGGAAATGGAAAACGGTGGCTCTGCACTGCGTTTAAAGCAAACCAACCTTCAGCTGATGGGGCAGAAAATTGGCCACATTTTTTCACTAAAGGTTCCACTGTTATCCTTCCTGCAAATGTTTTGCAAAAGAGCATATATAAAATAATTGATATGAGATGTCCGTGATACCAAAGTGCCCATTAACAAGC